GTGGAATATAGTGTGGGAGTGGAGTCCAGGGATTTGTAATAGATATGTATGATATTGGGGGAAATGGGGCGGCAGATTGGGGGAGTGGGGTTGTCACTTAGAGGGGTAAAAAGTATAACTATTGCACTGTGTTGTACAGCTGAAACTAATTCTAAAAAATGTATTTCATAATAAAATTTAATAAAAAAAATTAATTTCAAATAAATGTAATAGTGTACCTTCTTACATTAAACTGTTTTGTTGGATTTAAAAATAAATTAATTAAACCACCTCGTGACATTTTTAAAGGAGTTCACATAGTCATTTTTCAAGGGAAAATTTTATCTGAGGTGCACTTGCCAAAAGTCAGTCAGAACAGAACCAAAACAGAGCCCACTTCTCCTAAAACTGGTTCCATGTGGTCTAGCCACTACATTAACATCACCTTCACAACATACAGGGGAAGTTTAAAATGTGAGTGAAGAAGAGCGTTATCAGAGCCATAATTTCTAATAGGTGAAAATTAGGATTAAGTCATACCACACACATGTAGAGGCATTAAACGTCCTTAAAACTATCTATCAAGGCACTGATGTTCCAAGGAACCAAGATAGTTCCCTAGAATGTGAAATTTGCTAAGACTACTACTGTGATAACAGCAACTAAGGCTTTTTATTTAAGCACATTCTATGGCAAGCACTATTCTAAGACCTTGACACATATTATCATTTAATCTCCTCATAAGTATTACTACTATCCTCATTTGTAATAAAAGAACCTAAAACACAAGGAGGTTACTAATTTGCCTAAAGTCACGCAAGTTAAGAGTCATAATACAAAGCCAGGCATGTGCTCTCAATACATGTAGAAATCATTTATCCTGAGAATAATTATTTTATTACTATTAAAAGCCTTGTATTTTTAAGGGAAGGTCTTTCTAACAGATCAAAGCGGATTCTTGACTAGCTCTTTCTCCCAGCTTTATCATATTTTTCTATAACTGGCCCTTACTATACTCATAAACTCTAATATTTATTAATAATGAAGTATCTCGATGCCCCATTTAGCAACCATGAATTCTGCTCAGTGTAATAGGGTTTACTTTGCACTTTTTTCTTCTTGAGACCTTTTAGTCGATGATACAAAAATATTATATATACATATATGCAGTTTAAAGAAAAAAAATAAGGTAAACACTCGTGAAACCACCATCACAGTCCAGAAAACACTGCCAGCAATTTAAAATTTTCCCATGTGCTACTCCCCTCCTTCAGCCCCAGAGGTAATTATATTCTGAATTTTGTAATAAATGTTGCTTTACTTTTTTTTTATAATCACTTCTATATCCCTAAATAATATACCTTGGTTTTGCTTGTTTTGAACTTTATTTGAATAGAACCATACCACATGTATTTCACTGCAACTTGTCTTTCTTTGGTTAACATTATGTTCATGAGCTTCACCCATGTTTGTGAATGTTTAGTGTGGTTCACTAATTTTCTCTGCTCTATAATATTCTACTGGATGAATAAGCCACAATTAATTTAACCGATCTGATGAACATTTGGGTTTTTTCTAGTTTTTTGTTATAATAATTAATGATATTGTTAAAAATCTTGTACAAGTCTCAAGTACATGAATAAGAGTTTCTCTTGGGAATATTTTTAGAAGTTCAGCGGCTACATCACAGGTTATGCACATGTTCAAATTTACTAGGTATGGCCAAATTGTCCTCCAAAATGTTTATACCAAGTCATACATCTCCTCACCAATGTTTGGTACTGCCAGACTTTTTTGGTTAATCTGGTGGATATACAATTTCATTTCTTTTTTTTCTTTTCTTTTTTTTTTTTTTTATAGCTGAGCCATCCTGCCACCTGTTGGCAGCTCAGCTGCAGCTCAGCTCGGGCGGGGCATCGAACCACTGTTGCTCAGAGCTCACACTCTTGAGCGAGCTCTTAACCAACTGAGCCACTCGGCCGGCCCCCGATATACAATTTCATGATTCTATTTTGCATTTGTCCAATTATTAATAAAGTTGAGCATCTCTTCATGTTTACTGGTCATTTGAACTTTCTCTTTGGTAAGGTACCATATCAAGTCATTTGCCCAGTCTTCTGTCTTGTCCTTTTATTAGTGATAGGAATTCCTTATATATTAAAAATGCTAATCCTTAAGATCCTTTTGTCTTAATATACTACTATATCACTATGATGTATGTAGATATGAATTTTTTAAATTGATCCTGCTGGAGATTTGATAGACTACTTGAATCTGTGATCTACCATCAGTCCTGGAAAAATCTCAGTTTTTGTGTCTTATAATTATTTCATCCCTATTCTCACTGTCCTTAGGGATTTACGATTAAATATATTCATATGTTGGACTTTCTCACACTAGCATTCATGACTCCTATATCTTTTAAATTTTGTATGTATTTTTCTGTTTTGTATTCTGGATGATTTTTTTCAGTTTACTAATTTTCTCTTCAGCTGTTCCCAATCTGCTATTAAAATCTTATCTAAATTCCTTATAAGTCTGCTTGTCAGATGTTTTCAGTTGGTTAATGTCCAAGCTGCCTTTTTTCCTTGTGTGCTCAGTTGTTTTTGACTGTTCATTTTCACTGGAATTTCATTTATGGATGTAAGGCCCGGAATGAAGGTAGGTCCCTCCAGAAAGAAAATCCTTTGTTTCTGCCAGGAACCTGGGGAAATCTCTAGTGCAAAGATCACTTTAAATTCATTTTTCAGTATATGGTTTTACAGAAAGCACAAGAATTTATGGGTTTGGGACACAAATGTGTACGAGGGATGGCTTGTGACTCCAAATTCTCATCAACAAATTTTTTCCTCTCCCCATTTGGTGCCTTGGTTCAAGTCTTTCCTTTGCAGTACCCTAACAACAGAGGCAGGGGTAGAGAACAGGTAGGAGGACGGAGGGGGACTTCTGGTTTACCCTTGCACTAAAGGTGCATGTCTTAGGGATTCCAGAATTACGGGGAGAGGATCTCCCAGGAGATTCCTCTCTATGAACAGCCTCAGGTCTTTGTCTTCAGTAAATCCATGCCAGTGAGGTGGGAAAACCAACAGAAAAATTTACTGAGTTCAGCAAATATTCTTAGGGTAAAATTTCTCTGGGCTCTGGCCTTCACTTAGTTTTTCAGGTTAATAAGCTCTCATTTTTTAACTCATGAGTGCACTTAAGATTTTTTTTATATATATTTAATATAAAAATCTTTATCTTTTAAAGACAGATGTTAAAATATTTATGGATAAAGTGAAATGGTTCCTGGAATTTGTTTTAAAATAATACAGAAAAAAAGTAGGCAGAGTTATAGAGGAAACAAGATTCATCATGATTTGATAATTTTTAAAGTTAGATGAAGGGTATGCAGGAGTTGATATATGTTTGAAATTTTCCATAATAAAAATTTTTTGTTTTGTTTTTAATGAGAAATACAAAAGAACATGGGACAAGCAAGCCAAAAACAACAAAATCAAAAATCTGGAATTTTTAGTTGTTACCAGTGGAAGGGTTAATCCAGATTCCTAATCCTCTATACTCCCAAAACTATCCCTTTTGATTTACCCCTAGAATTAAGTGAGAGTTATGGTTTTTGTCTTCCTTACAATTGCCTTCTGTAGTTACTAAGAACTCCTCCTTATTCCTTTCTTAATATAATTTTACAAGTATCAATTGAAATGTAGATATTTTTTCTTTTTAAAAGCAATTATAACATTACCCCCACAATCCTTATCTGTTATTTTCTGAATTATAAATTCTACTTGTGCTATTTATGAGACCTTTAAATTAAACCCCAAGCAGCTACATTTTACATTCATCCTACATTACTGAGATCCACAGTTTAAAGGAAAAACCTTTTGTGGGCAGGGTATTTGGATAAAGTTGTCAAATTAAAAAAAAAAAAAAAGAAAGAAAGCAACAATATGAACCATTCCCTTTAAAAGACAGCTGTAATTCTAAAATTTCAAATGAGCTTGCAAAAAAAAGTTTTTACGACTTATAAACACAATATTGACTAAATTTTTATCTGAAAGAAAAAAATGAGAAGTGAGAAAAAACACAACATTAAAGTCATTTTTTACCCAGTCTGTAGTAAAAGGTGCTCCATTTGCCATCAAAATACGAACTTCATCATCTTGACCTGCTCGTGCCGCTTCTAAAAGCTTCTTTCCCAAATCTACCAGGGACATCTAAAAAAAAAATAGACAAATTTAATATCTCCAAAGCTACAAAAATGTCCCAGCCTAGTGAGCCAATAAATAGTCCCATTTCTGAGATCTATCTTGAAGGAACTAATATATATACATACATATATTACATTACACACACACACACACACACATATATATATATATATATATACACAGATCTATCAATAAAGATATATCTACATATATAGAGGGTGCCAAAAAATGTATACACATTTTAAGAAGGAAAAGATTGTATTAAAATTGTAATACTCAATACCAGGGGTGCCAAAAAAATGTATACAGGTGGACACTTTGGTCAATGTCGCTCAAGCAGTAATTTGCCGTAATCAGAAGTGTCTGGACACTGATGGTAACCACTTTGAGCAGCTCTTGTAGTTGCAGAAGTCAAATGTGACTTGCTCAAAGAGGTTACTATCAGCATAATTTTAAAACAATTTTTTCCTTTCCTAAAGTGTGTATACATTTTTTTGGCACCCTCTGTACATCAATTATTTTTATAATGTGAACAATCTAAATGTAGGAAAATAGTTAAATTGTGGAATCTAGTAAAATAAAATACAGTAATTTAAAATAATAGTTTTGAAGTCATATAATAACATTAAAAAGTTATGCCATGTTAAGTGAAAATAGCATACAAAACTAATTTTTGAATGTCAAAATATACACAGAGAACAAAATACTGAAAACTATTAAAAATTGTACAGGTGATATGGTTATGGGAAATTTTGCCTCCATTTTACAAAGTTTCTGCCATATTACTATATTATCTTTCTAAACTTAAAAAGTGAATCTTTTAAGGGACAAATTACATTGTATGACTATCAAATAAGTAAATGCTGACATTAGGGAAAAGTTAAATACTACTAACTTACTAAACAAGAAAATGTAGGCTACTGAGGACTTAAAATAGCAAACTTATTGATCTGCTTATAAGAATACAACAAAACAATGATACATTTGAACAAATAAACTTCTCCCTTAATTCTGCAATTGTCTTAATTTTTCAAAACATATCATATTAACAACCTAGAATACTTAAGTTTTAAAATCCCATTAGCAATATAGCAGTGTAGTAGATTAATGTAGCTGAATACTTTGAAATCAATGGTTCTCATGGTAGCAGCAATGCCCCCTAGAGGGCCCTTTGAAAACATACTACGTGTATGGCACTGAATGCCATCTGTTATAATACTCCTTTTATCTTAAAAAGAAAAGCAACCCAAAAATCTACATAATAAATTCCATTTTTAATTCCTTTAGCATTCCTAAAGAAGTTTATCACAGTCTGATACAAATCATTTTTTAACACCAATTAAAATGAGTTTTAATAAGATCTGTAGGGGCACTTCAAAATGTCTACAAATAAATCTGCTTTTGCTCAAAAGTACATGCTGAGGGGGCCATCTAGTGGTAATAGGAATTACCACCAATAATTAAATTTTTACAGTTTAGTCCATTTTGCTTTGAATTTCTATAATTCATAGTTCATAGAGCTGTTGTAAGGTTATAGCATCTCCTGGACATGAAAACGCTCCATAAAACTGTAAAATACTAGTTCCATGTGAATTGTTACTAGCACTCTTAAATAAGAATTTGAATAAAAACACACAGAAAATGTAATCCTATTATAATATACTTAATAATAAACCTTGATTCATTAAAAATTTTAGAATAAACTTGCAATATCACTCCTAGAATACAATTATAAATCCAATAAAATCCTTCTAATCCTTCATCAAGCAATTTAGTACTCTGTATGCATCAAAAGCCTTTAAAATGTTCATGTTCTTTGACCTAGTAATTCCACTCATATAAATCTATCATAAGGAAACTATCTGAAATATAACTATTATAATAATGTTGTAAAATAGGGAAAAACTGAAATTCCCTACTACAAATAGCTAAAGAAATTCAAATAGATCATAATGGAATACTGTAGTCTTTATTTTTTTGTGTTTACTTTTTATTATGGAAATTTTTTAACAAATATAAGAATAGACACAATAGTATAATGAACTCTCTCACAGCCACCACCTAGCTTCAATATTATTAATTTATGGCCAGCCCATTTCCTACATACACATATTATTTTGAAGCAAATATCAGGCATATCACTTTATCTGTAAATATTTTAGTACATATCTTTACAAAATAAATATAGTCTTTAAGCATAATACTATAGTAATTTAAAACTACTATTTACAAATAGCATGTCATAAAATAAGAATCAGGACTCTAAATTGAATGTACACCATGATCTTAACTGAAAAAAATGCATAGAAAAATATTTGGAAAAAATATACCATGATAATTAAAATTACAGATTTTTCCCTTTTTTCTACACATCTCTACTTTGTAAGTTTTCTATAATGAGCACATATTACTCATGTAATTAGAAATAAACTTCAATTAATAAAAAGCTTTTCATCAAAATTAGATAATATTAATAAGCCTTAATGTAGGAAATTTGATGTTGTAGAAAATTTTTTTAATAGTAAAAGGATGTAAAATGTGACTCCAAGTAAAATTAAGCACATTATAGCCATATGAATAAGTATATGTATAAAAATATTCTTGGGCATCATAATTTAGTCGCCTACATTCTCATAAAAAAGCAGCTTCAATAATTGTAAAAGTAGTGCCTGGCATCTTGCCAAATCTTAATCTACATTATCTCATTTTATCTAAGCAATCTTACCAAGACAGTTACTGTCTCCATTCTGCAAAGGAGGCAAACAAAAAGATTTATCAAACAGCACTAGTTTTGGTCTAAAGATAAGACCCATTTTCTTAACTCTTCTTCTTATAATCTGAATTAGAGAACAGTGAGAATCTGATGGGGTATAAAAGAGCATGCCCTCCAAGGATTTAAGTTTAGTCTCTCTGTGTAATTCCTTTTTTTTTTTTTTTAAAGATTTTTATTGGGGAATTGGGGTGATGGGAACAGTGCTGGGGGATTGGGGAAGGGGAACAGACAAGTTGCTGTCGTTTTGTTCTTCAATCTAGTTGTGGAGGACGTTGCTTCACTTGCCCAAGTTGGCAGCATCATTGCGCTCTTCCTGGGTGAGGCAGATCAGTCGCCGGCTTCTGGACGGCCGCTCACTGCAGCTGCTGGCCGCTCACGCTGGCTGCTGGCTACACACGGTAGCCCATGGCAACCCACTGCCACAGGGGCTGCAGCCCACGCCATTGCGGGCAACCCATGGCAGCCCAGCTCCAGGTTGAGCTGTTGTTCAGCATCTTAGCTGTGGAGGGCAGTGTCACTGGCCCTCATATGTGGGATCCGAACCGGGGCCCTCTGACATCCCAAGCGAGTTCTTAACCATCGTGCCACTTGGCTGGCCCGTATGTAATTCCTTTGATGAGAAAAATCATCATATGAATTTCAGATATATTTGGATTTTTCTCCCATTTCCATTTTATCTTATGAGTGTTGGGTTTTTTTACTTTTTCTAAACTTAAAAATAAAATGACATTTTCAACATAAATTATCCTAAAAAAATTATCTCCCATATACCTTTATTTCAGAAAGGCACTAGAAGATGTACTCCACTAAAACCAGGAGTAAACCAGAAGGAAGAGTCAGGGCTTCAGGAAATAAGGGATCCAACAAAGAGTGGAAGAAGATTCCCCCGCTATTGGTAAATGGAGACCCCATGATAACAGCTGTGCCACAGACCTGGAACACAAATCCAGACTGGAGCCGGAGGACAGAGGTTCCAGAAAGGAGGTCTCCAAGAAAAAGACAGGATGGATGCTGAGTTTCCTAAGAAAAAAGTGAAACTGCCTGTGAAGAGTGTGAGATTGATTAATGATGGATACAAGACTAAGCAGAAAAACATTCAATTTCTTTTTCAAGGGAAAAGAAAACTATATAAAAAAGGAAATGTAATCCCAATGTGTATATGACATGGGTTAGAGAAAAGTAGACCACTGAATACTAATGTAAACAAAATTTTCAGTGTAATTCTATTGAGAAGATGAAGGGCGAGGAAAAAATGTGTATGTGGGTGGTTTGAATTAACAAAGCAAAAGCTTCATCTTCATAAGTAGGAAGTCAAAGATATCTAAAATTGAAAAAACAAGAAATAGCATAAGCTTGTTATTTAGAAATATGAAGGAAAGTACTAAGGGAAAAACAGTGAAAAGACATAAATGGATGCCTCCAGGAAAGAGAGTTCTGGGGTGGAAAGGAATAACAAGGAACTGGATTTTTTTTACCATAAACCTTGTATTTTACTGTTTCAACTATGTACACGTATACTTTCATAAAAATAAAATTACAAATAAACAAATACATGTTTATACAAGAAATATGTAGTTCAAATTTAAAGTCATCTCCACACCTCCCTGTGGTCTTACTCCCCAGAAGTAACCACTATTTAAATTAGTGTGTATCCTTCCAGGTCTTTTCCATGCATGCAGTAACACAGATATGCACAATGTTTAAACAAACAAAAACACAAAAAAGGATCATACTATACTTGTTTTTTTCACTTAACAGGGATCCCCTTGTTTTATCAGTGACATCTTTCTATGTAAATACGCAGTTATATAGAATATTAAGCATTCTTTTTACTGGCTGTGCTAGGCTGAATAATGGCCCCCTAAAGAGGTTTAGATCCTCATTCTCAGAATCTGTGACTATGTTAGTTTATATGGCAAAGGGACTCTGCAGATATTATTAAACTAAGGGTTTTCAGCTAGGGAGATGATCCAGGTGGGCCTGATGTAGTCACAAGGGGCCTTATAAGAGGGATGCAGGAGGGGCAGTCAGAGGGAAAGAAGGAAAGATGAGAATCAGAGAACACAACATGCTAAAATCTTAATTTCAGATCTTCTGACCTCCAGAATGGTAAAATAATAAATCTGTGTTGTTTTAAGGCACTATGTTTGTGGTAATTTGTTATAGCAAATAGGAAATTATTATGCTAAGAAATAGGAAACATAGAGTATTGAGTACATTAATTTTCAATCCC